TGTCAACTTATACATATATTGTTATGTAGAAGTTATAGGCTAGATATGGCATATTCTTAGTGGGTACAACCCAAATGCTATATCTCTCCTGTTCTCCATTGTTCTAATTATTCTTTCTAGAATAAACAATAAGGACTAGTTGCCCAGGAGACAAGGGTAGAACCCGTCAATGCCTGAACGCGTACCGTTTGGTCGTAAGGTTGGCTTTTGAAATGGCCACGGTAGCGTTTTTCTATACAGTCTATAAGTCCTTGACGAACTGTTTCGATCGTAGGGCAGGGCTCTCAACTAACAGTGTAGTGGGAGTCATGGGGTTTAGACCGTAATTCAGGTAGAACAATGATTGGGCAGTCGTTGACGAATGGGCGTTGTTATACGCGAACACGATCAGAGGGAGGGAATCTACGCATTGGGTCGGGTCGGTACAGGTTGTCCGTATCAGTTGCTCCATGGTCTGATTTGTCCGTTCAGTCTGACCGTCGGTCTGTGGGTGGTAAGCAGTGGACAGATGGACGTGTACAGTACTGTTCCCACATTTTCTTCCAGAAGTTGGACATGAATCGGGGGTCACGATCGCCTTCGGGATTCCGTGCAGGCGAACGATGGTTGAGATGAACAGCTTGGCAGTTTGCACGGCTGTGATCGTCATTCGGCATGGCACGGAATGAGCCATTTCGTGAGTCGGTCAACGACCACGAGTACGACATCATTTTGGGATGCGCCGGCTGGCAGTCCTGTCACGAAGTCATTTTGGTGAGAGGGTTTCATCAGTGGCAGGTGGGCCATGAGGCCACATATTGCTGCACGTCGTGGCTCGCATTCGGCCAGTAATAATGACGTTGGAGCATTTTCAAGGTTTTATCAACCCCGAAATGTCATAAGCAATTAGCGTCATGAACGTCCTGTATCAGTAATTCCAGTAACAGTCGGTAGGATGGAACCCAAATTCGGTCAGTACAAGCTTTAAGATGGTAGTGACTATCAACTTATACATATGTTTATATGTAGAAGTTATAGACTAGATAGGTTTGTGTTCTTGGAGGGTACAACTCCAACCCTATATCTCCCCTGTTCTCACTTGTTCTAGTTCATTCGGCTACTCTAACATGGTATCATAGTAGGTTTGGTCCGCCCACCCGCTTCCGCCCTCGCCCTAGCCTACCGCCCCGTCGTACCCTAGCCTTAGCGCGCCCCGCCGGCCCTTAGCGCCCCGACGACCCCGCTCCCGCAAGCTGGTCCTCTACGCGCCTTGCCGGCCATTAGCGCCCGCCGGCCCTTAGCGTCACGCCGGCCCTCGCGCGCCTTGCTGGCCCTTAGCGCCCCACTGGCCCTTATCACCTCGCTGGCCCCTCGCGTACTCGCCGGCCCCTCGCGTACCCCGCCGGCCCCTCGCGTGCCCGTCGGTCCCTCGTGCGCCTTGCCGGCCCTTAGCGCCCCGCCGGCCCTTAGTGCCTCGACGGCCCCTCGCGTACCCAACTGGCACCTCGCGTACCCCGCCAGCCCCTCGCGTGCCCGCCGGCCCTTAGCGTCTCGCCGGCCCTTAGCGTCCCGCCGGCCCTTAGCGTCTCGTCGGCCCTTAGCGTCCCGCCGGCCCTTCGCACCCCGCCCGGCCCTTCTCACCCTGTCGGCCCCTCGCATGCCTGCTGGCCCCCTTTAGCACCCCGCTGGCCCTAGGCGCCCCGCCAACCCCTCGAGCGCCCCGCTGCCCCTAGCGCCCGGCCTGGCCCTAGCGCTCCGCCGGCCCTTGGCGCCCCGCCGCCCCTTTCGAGTCCCGTTGGCCCATCGCACCTTGCCGGCCTGCTGCGCGCCTCGGACCCTGTGTGCCCTGCATGGCCTTCTGCGCGGTCTTCCCGCCGGAGAGGTCTGCCGCCATGCCGCTGTGCCGCCATGCCGTTGAGTACCTGTGATGTTGTGTCACCGTGTTGCTGTGCCGCCGTATCGCTGTGCCGCTGTGTCACTGTGTCGCTGTGCCGCTGTGTCGCAGTGCCGCCGTGAAGCTGTGACGCTGAGGTTGCACGATGGCGGACACCGTACTCCGCCTGGACGCGGAGGGGCACGCGATCGACTTCGCCGCCTGGCTTGTTGATCTTCGCCGTCACCTGATAGGTTAGCGCCCGGATGGGCACTCCCTGGCTGTGCATGTTGATGGTTTGCTTCCCCGCCCCCCCGTGCCTGATCTCCTCCCTGCTGACCCTACAAATGCTGAGCGTGAGGCCTTTTCTGCTACTACGCTCACTCGCGCTGTCTGGGATTCCCGCGATGCCGTAGCGCAGCTAGCCATTAGTCATGCTCTTCCCCTGTCCGAGCGTCTGCGCTTCACTGCTGTCGCGAACGCCAAGGATTTCCTAGATACAATAGTTGAGCGCTACTCCACACCCGCCTCCGCCTCTGCTGGCTGCCTGAGAACTTTCCGGCCCTGTCTAAGATAGAGACTCGCCAGCGCACTATCGCTCAGTCGAGCGGTGTTGCGGCAGTCCCTATCTTTTGGGGCTGTGCTCCCTCCTAGTGCACGTATGCTAACGTTTCCACTGCGGTCGCTACAGCTGCTCCTGCCGCTGAGACCGCAGCACCAGCCTTCCGCAGCAGCAGCGACAGCGCCAGGGCCGTCGCGGCCCCAAGGGAGGGCGTGGTGGTGGTGGTGGCGGCGACAGTGGTTCGGACGAGGGGGCTGGGGCAGGCATCCAGGAGCAGCAGCAGGCACAGCAGCAGCCGCAGCAGCCGTGGGCCCGCTTCCCGCCGGGGTGGCCAGGAGCCCCTGGAGGGGGTGGCCGAGGTGGCGGTCCTCGCAGCTCCTACCAGCGGCTTCGGTGCTGTGGGCTGCCAATACTAGCTCCAGACCGGGCCCCTTTGTGGCACTGTGTGCCGCCATCCGCACCCGACCACCCGCTGCTTCCGCCGCCTCGAGGACCTCTTTCGTCGCCGCTTCGGCCCGGCCCCAGACCTCCCTGACTGGCCCAGTCTGCTGTGCCATGGTGTGCCTGTTTTTGACTTAGACATGGTTCAGATTACATCTGCCTTGCATTCTCTGTATGCTGACGCTTCTAGTGTGTCTAGATCTTATTACCCTGTGTTCTCTAGCTTAGGCGTAGCACCTATATGTAGTACAGAGACCCCTGCTGCGTCAGGCGTAGGACCGTTTTCTTTGTCTAGTCTAGGCTCCACAGTCGCACCTCCTTCGTCTGCCGCTACTTGGCTTCGCTGTCCTTCACACTTGACTCCGGTGCGTCTGCCTGCTTCTTCCGCGACCACGCTGCGCTTATGCCGCTTGTTGCGCCTGCCGTTGTCACACTTGCTGACCCCTCCTCTGGTCCTGTAGTTGCTCGTAGCTATACTACCCTTCCCTGTCCAACCGTAACCTCGGGTTCCCTTACAGGCCTGCACATCCCATCGTTCTCCATAACTTAGTGCTGGGTGGACGCAGACCAGTGGTCCTTACTGGGCACACATACGCTTCTTGGGCAGACGATGCTGAGAGACGCAAGTCCTCCCAGGGTTACTGATTTAGCCTTGTTCAGATGCCATCTCGTGGAGGTCCACTCGCTCAGTCTAACTGTGAGGTTGAGATCTACGCCGGTGCCATGGCGGCACAGGAGCTCCGCTGGCTGACCTTCTTGCTCACTGACTTAGGTGAGCGGCCTAGCTCTGCACCGAATCTATACGGTGAGAACAGGGCTATGATCCTCCTGTGTCAGGAGCCTCGCCTTGAGGGCAGAGCAAATCACATCCAGCTGCGGTACTTCCTCCTGCGCGAGCTGCAGCAGCGTCGCCAGGCCCGCGTAGTACACGTGGCCTCCGGTGCCAACACAGCTGATATCTTTACGAAGGCACTTGCGCCTAAAGATCATCAGCAGCACTATTTGCAGTTTTTTTCTAGTTCCTGTAGCTACTCACTTGCTAGGACCTTGATTGTGTAGTCCTCTTTATATATACCTTTTTGAATGGCCTTGTGGCTTCTCTTCCAGTGACCGGACTAGTAGTGCCACATTTGGTTTGCTCTTTTCTTGTTTGTACTCTTGCTGACTGCACTTTGGACCCCTACCTTAGAGGTTGGACTAGTATTGCCACCCTGAGCTGCGTGTTTCTTGCTCAGCACTACCCTTTATCTAGCCTAGGGGGTGTGTCAACTTATACATATGCTTATAGGTAGAATTTATAAGCTAGATAGGTTTGTGTTCTTAGAGGGTACAACTCCAACCCTATATCTCCCCTGTTCTCACTTGTTCTAGTTCATTCTGCTAATTTGACAGTGGCCTCATTGAGCGATGAGGGCCTGGTGGCCGTTAGAGGTGAAGAGAGGATCCGTATTGTAGCCGTGGGTAAACAGTCCAGTTAGCAGCAGGTTAGCTTGGGCAATTAATACGGCGACTGTATAGGCAGTAGGGCAGGAAATGACATCGACAATATTATTTGGAAGTGTCGGACTCGACGTCGCGTGCAGGCTTGGGGTCTCGAACGTATAGTAGTTCAAATCTGATCTGAATTGTCGGGCAGAGCATGGACTTCCGAAAGTCAGGGCTGTACTCAATGTTAGCGAGGCTCGATAAGGACAAGTATTTTTCCTTACAATGCAGCTCATAACATGTCCCAGTACATTTACCCATTACATCCAAAAGAATGTAACGGTAACAAATAAGAACAAATGGAATTTTGTAGCTCACATGCGAGCATGGACAAACACCAACACCTACCTAACATTCATAAAGCCTTATTATTTGGCCAGACTGTCAAACATATCCTTGCATGTTGTTCTAGAATATACAGGATTGTGCCTTAGAGAGTACAACCCACTAGGTTATATTCCCTTGTATGACATGGTTCTATTCATTTCGTTAACTTTGATACAGACAACTATCGTTCATCAGCAATAGCTTGTCTCAATTTCATCGAAAATACTCCGAAGCTTGCTAACCATAATTGACATTGGAGGCCGTTGCTTCCAATTGCAGCAGATGGCATAGCGAACCAGAGTGACGGCAATAAGAACAGGCCTCCTTGCCCACTCCCCCTCGATAGCAGGGTCCATAACCAACAAAGGGTCGGGTAAATCCTTGGAGATTATTAACTGCCTCAACTCCTGGTACTGTGCACTGAGGGGGCAGCAGCCAGACATCAGCTCCAATAAGAACACGCCAAAAGCGAAGGTGTCAGATTTCTGGCTTAGTTGGCCAGTCTGGAAATAGATTGGGTCGATGTAGCCCATAGATCCAACCACTTTCGTTGAGACGTGCGTTTTCCAGTCATCTATAGTGCGAGCCAAACCAAAGTCAGCCACCACCGGAGTGAGATCCTGCAGTTACCAGTAACAGATTAAAAGGATGGAACATATAGATCAGATAAGGTGCTGATATGAGATGGAATGGAATGAGTCAGCACAAATTTAGCATGTACGGGGAGCAACTCAATGCAGCAGAAGAAAGGTCACAGCGTAGCAGGTGACAAAAGAATGGAATTATCGAAACACTCCCACCCAAGATAATATCATGGCCCCGTACCTCTCGCAGAAGCTCATTTGACGACTTGAAGTCACGGTGAACAATGTTGTGTGCGTGAATGGTAGCTAGTGCCTTAGCACACCCCAAAGCCACCCTCATACGATCCCTCCAAGGGAAGTGCACCTCGCCCTGGGGGACTGGATATGGGAGTACGGGGGAGGGGGAAGAGGAAGGGGAGAGGGATGAGGGGGTTGTTGTTGTGAGTTGCTATCCGCTTGGAAGAGCGAGAGGAGGATAGAGAATATACGAGAGAGGAAAAGCAGGGAGAGGGAGTGGGGAGCGAAGAGGAAATGCTAGCTCACCTCTTTTGAGGAAGCACTTGACGTCGCCCCCACAGATGAGCTCGAACACTAGGACAGGCCCTTAGGTTGTGTCTAACGCCACGCCTTCCAAACGCAGGATGTTGGGATGATTCACTGCTGACATGGCTGCCACCTCAGCCTGAAAAATGGCAAAACGCAAAATGTACTGACGAGCAGGATGCAAAGCCGCCGCATTTGCCATGCACTGGGACACAGGACGCGAAGCCCAATGCAGCAAGCTCGCTGCGTTGAGCTATGGATGGTGGAGGATGGGTGGCAGGCTTGTATTTCCCAGCTTGTTATTCGCCATGGATTCTGTGATGTGATGGGTGAACATAGAGGAGATGGGGTGGGTGGGACACATGAAAAATGGTTGAGATGGTGGAAACGGTTTTAGAAACCTTCCGATGGTCGTAAGCTGGTCCAGTATGACATGGTGCGGTGGCACTCAATGGAATGGAGACTGGAAGGGATGATAGAGAACGAGAACCCCAATGGCGATGCGGTGGGAGGGGAATTGGTGGACCTCAATATGAGGCGGCAGATCCCGTGGGAATGCCAGCCGCAATCGAGGGATTTTCCAATGCTGAGTTGGAATGTGTCGAGACTGACGACAGCAGCACGATAGTGTGACAGTGACTTCGCAATAGTGAGCATGGGGGCTGCGACTGGCTATCTGAATGAACGGACCGATTGCATTTCCTGGCTGGAGGCATGTCACACCGACGAGGCAGCGCGTCGGCACAGGAGCGAAGAACGAGTCATGGCCCTTGGAGATTGGCTGCACGGCTTTATCTAATCGGGAGCATTTCCACTTAGAGGCATTTGGCAACCACGAGCTCGCCTCACACGTCGACGTTCCACTTGCTCCAACCACCGACGAGCATCACGGTTCGGCCATGCGAGTTCCTCCTGTGCCAAAGTGGAAACACGGAAGGGAACACAAAGCTTGCGTGTGACAGCTGACGCAAGCAAAGCAGCGGACAGAAGTTTATGCTACACCTGTTCTACTTTTCACTTCTCTGCATCTACAAGGGCGGCTCGGTTTGTGTGCGTTTTTCTGGTTACCCACGACAAAACGGATTAGAGAGGTAACTTTTACAGTGCCCCGAGCCTTCGGCCTGTCAGACATAGGATGTCGTTTGCACAAGAGTGGTCTCAAATTGTCAGAATGGCGAGCGTTCGATTGGTTCATTTTGTTTCCAGGTCAAGATTCTGTCACTGTTTCGGATGACGTTGACAATATGCCCATTGATTCCTCCTGGGGATTTGCGTTAGATGGAGTTTTTAGGCGAAATGGAGTGCAGCGCTATGGAGTGTTCGCGAGAATAGGTGTATTTAGTTCTACAGTTTTGCGCGCGGCTCGAGCCTGCAGGAAACGGTCGAACACAGGCAAACGGGGAAGGGAAAATCCAAGGAAACACTGACACTTGGTTACTATGTCTCGCTCATGCACTAGATAAGTTGCCCGCGCAACCTCCCAACTCGCAATTGTTGAAATTTGACTTGACTGTTCGCTCACGTTCAGACTGCAGCCAATCACTGCCAATCAGGTTCAGTGTCAACGGGAGTCATGATTGTTAGAAATAGACTGCAAATACCACTTTTGTATTTGTACTTTTATATCCTAGTTTATGTTGTGAATGTTCTAGTGGGTTGGGGTGTACTCACAAATCCCAACCTCACCCAATTGTGATCCCCACAATCTCCAATTACCCAATTGGAGATTTCGGAGATCCCAATGGGGATTCCCTCCAATTCCCCCTTCATCCATTCTCTCTCACCTTGCCATGTACTTAAAGAGCCTTGGGCTCCTTACCTAATTAATCATTTCAACTCTATTTCTTACAATGATGAGAACCAGGTATTTGGGATTGAAATCTGAGCTGTTCTAGGTGAGACAATAAAGAGAAATAAGTGTAAATGATTTATCACAATAAATAGGGGTTCACGAGCGGAATTTCACTCTCTTTATTCTCTAATCGAGTAGAAAGTCATCATAGTAATCAATAATGGCACATCGATGCACACTCCCCATGGCCCAAAACCATATACTGTGGTCGATCTCACATCATGTGAAACATGCAGTACATTGACCCAAATCATACTCAGTGGCAACATACCATATGCCGTTAGCAACCTGCCTCAATTCTACCGAGAATGTCCCGAAGATAGTTTGCCATATCTGACATTGCAGGCCGTTCCTCCCAGGTGGTCGAAATGGCAAAGCGCGCCAGGATGAAGGCCATCTGAGCATGCTTTCCTGCCCACTCCCCCTCTAGAAGAGGATCAACCACCAAGGAGGGCCTACTGTAATCCCCTAGTGTGATCAAGTGCCTCAGCTGTCGGAAACGGTCACTGATCGGCGGAAAACCCGAAATGAGCTCTAACAGGAAGATGCCGAATGCGTAGGTGTCAGATTTCTGGCTTAGTTGGCCATTCTGGAAATAGACTGGGTCGATGTAGCCAGCCGATCCGACCACATCTGTTGTAACGTGCGTTTTCCAGTCCTCTATGGTGCGAGCCACACCAAAGTCAGCCACCACTGGAGTGAGATCCTGCGGTTACCAGATACAGACGGAAGGGAAGGGACATGGAAACCATATGAGACGGAATAGGCACGGGACGACCACCAGTGAATAGAAAACAAATACAGCACATCCATGGAGCTGCAAATTTTTTTTTAATTTTTTTTTTATATAATGCTAAAAAACCAACCGCAATGTAGCAAAAGAAGGGAAGCAGGCTTGTACCATACCTCGCGCAGAAGCACATTTGCCGACTTGAAGTCACGGTGAATGAACTTGTGCGCGTGAATGGCAGCTAGCGCCTCGGCACACCCCACTGCCACCCTCATACGATCCCTCCAGGGGAAGTGCACCTCTCCCTGGCGGACTGGATATGGGAGTAGGGGGGAGGGGGGGAGGAAGGGGAGAGGGATGAGGGGGTTGTTGTGAGGGAAGTGCACCTCGCCCTGGCGGACTGTGTTGGGGGGAGGAGTGGGGTAGGGGAAGGGGGGATGGAGGGAGGGACTTCACTATTTGAGATAACACAGGAGAAAAGCAAGGCTGAGAGCAGGTAGCAAGACAAGTGATAAGGAAAGGCATTTGCTGGCTTTCGACTGTCATTACGCGCACGTACAGGCACATGCAGGCACATGCAGGCATGTGCAGGCACATGCAGACATGCACGCACATGCAGGCACGTGCAGGCACATGCAGACGTGCAGGCACATGCAGGCACAGGCACATGCAGGCACATGCAGGCACATGAAGGTACATGCAGGCACATGAAGGTACATGCAGGCACATGCAGGCACATGCAGGAACATGCAGGCACGTGCAGGGGGAGTAGGGGGATGGAGGGAGGGACTTCACGAATTCAAGGCTGACAGCAGCTGACAAGTGAGAAGGAAAGGCATTTGCTGCCTCTCGACTGTCATTACGCGGACATGCAGGCACATGCAGGCACGTGCAGGCACATGCAGGCACATGCAGGCACATGCAGGCAGGTGCAGGCACATGCAGGCACGTGCAGGCACATGCAGGCACAGGCAGGCACGTGCAGGCACATGCAGGCACATGCAGGCAAGTGCAGGCACATGCAGGCACATGCAGGCACGTGCAGGCACATGCAGGCACGTGCAGGCACCGTGCAGGCACATGCAGGCACTTGCAGGCACTGTGCAGGCACATGCAGGCACATGCAGGCACATGCAGCAGCATGCAGACACATGCAGGCACATGCAGACACGTGCAGGCACATGCTTGCTATGAGGAGCGAGAGGAGGAGAGCGAACTTCTCTTTTCATGTGAGTGAGAAAGAGGGCGGAGAGGGGAGTGGGGCTACGGGGATTTCCCTCACCTCTTGTCAGAAAGATCTTGATGTCGCCTCGGGGAATAAACTCATACACGAGAATGAGGCCCTGGGATGGGTCCATGGCCTTGCCGTGCAGTCGCAAGATGTTGGGGTGATTGACGGCTGACATGGCCGCCACCTCAGCCTGAAATCACGGAGCAGATGGGAGCAGAGGGAATCTATATGCAAGCAAGGGGGTAAAAGAATGCATTCACGTTGGTACACGTGCAAATTTGTTGAGTTCTTTGTAACATTGTTAGTTTATTGGCACATCAACACCCAGGTGTAAGACAGAGACTCACATTGAAGCTCGTGAGGTCTTGCGCAACATCCTTCCCTTTCATCACTTTCACCGCCACTTCACACTCCCTCATCCCCCCGCCTGTAGCGCTGCTGCTTCCGCCAGCAGGCAGCACCATCCGCCCATAATACACCTGTCCGAACCCCCCCTTCCCTACCACGCGCTTATACCCCCCCGTTGCCGCCTTGATCTCCGCGGAGGTGAACTCGCGCAACACAGGGAGCGCGGAGGCGGAGGAAGCCCCGGCGGGTAAGGTGAAAGCGGAACCCGAGGGGCCGCCGCCGCCGCCTGCAGAGCGACCGGCAGAGTGACCAGCGGAGACGCGCGGAGAAGCAGCGGAAGGGATTGGGGAAAGCGGTCCCATATGCGCCAGTGTTATTTCGGGAAAGGGCGCTTGTTCCCCCCCGAAGCCGTTGGGGAACCAAGTGGGGGGAAGGGCTGGGGGAAGGGGCGCCGGGTTTAGAACCGGAGGTGGCTCCGCCACTGGCGCTGGCGCTGGTGCTGGCGCAGATTGCACGGCGCGAGGCATGCATTCGAATGTCACGGTCTCGTAATAGTCTGCCGAAGGGTCATAGTAAATGGCGGCGCTGGAGGTACGGGGGACATAGGCGGCGGAGGGAGGAGGAGGAAAGGAGGAGGGAGGTGCAAGGGGTTGACTGGCTGATGTGGTTCCGGCGCAGGGGGAATGGGCAGGCGGAGGGGAGCTTGAAGGGCCAGACGGCCGATGTGGAATGGTGGTCACGGAAGGTGTACTACCATATACTACGGCCGTAGAACGGCCCGTATAAGCGCATGCCGGGGACCCGCCAAGAGGCCGCACGGAAGGGTTTTCGGCTGGCTAGGCGTCCAATCGGGGGCAGACCCTGGAATGGGCTCGCTGTTCACCCGGTACATCGGGTTGGCAGCCGGGGATTCGCCTTTGCTCGGTACGCCCCCACCCGGAAAACGACTTTGGGATGAAGGTGGGCTTGCTACAGAATCTTGAGACGCGGCGCGATTTGTGTGGGGGGGGGGGGGGTGGGGGGGGGAGATCCGGTGGGGGGGAGGGGGGATGGGGAAGGTGTGGGAGGTGGGAAATAGGGGGGTATGGTAGGTGAGGCTTTCAAAGCCGGAATCATCGGGATTGTCGCAGCAGTATGAGAGGAGCTTGAGCAAGGACCGGGGGTGTGCTTGTATCGCGTACAGTGTGCGATGTGCCCATAACTCATTGAATGCACTTTGTGCATATTCTGTGACCAATTGTATCGCACGGTGTGACGGGGGCGAGGGAGGAGGGTTGACCGAAAAAACTGTAAAAACTCCTTTCGCTAACTGAACAATGGGGGAAAAAAAAATAATTTTCGCCAACTGAATAATATATCTTATATCGAAGCCCTCCCCTAGAACTCACCGGCTGACTTATTCGCTTTCGCAGGCGCGTCGTTGCGCCTGCGGCCGTAGCGAATGCCAATGATATGGCGACTTGGCGACGTGCGACCTAGCGACTTCACACGGCTGCGGCTGAAGCGATTGCCCATGGCTTGGCGACCTCGTGACCTTTTCGACGGCGGAGCGATGAACTGGCGCTTTAGGGTTCGAAACGCCTGAAGTCCGAACTACCCAATCGGAATTGTTTGTTCAAACGGTTGAACACGACCGCGTGGCAATTGAATTCAAGCAACGTTTCGAGCTCCAAATATATATGCTCGGTAATCTGAGCGATCGAGTCTAATCTGGGGAAATCTTCGCCTGCAATACTGGAATTCGCCATCTGCGGTGTGCTGCTTGGGGCAGTCTCGAGCATCTCGCTGTGAGAATTTCCCTTGGAGTGCACGTTATGGCGGGGAGGGGAGGGGAGGGGGAAGGACCTTCGAAATGGCGCGTACAACACCATGAAATGGGGAGGGGAGCCACGAAATGGGAGGCGAGGAGAATGGCTGAGCAGGTCAGGCGAGGACTCAGGTGGGTAGATGGGGTCAGGGCGTGTTTCCTGGGTTTTGTAACTCATAGATGTCACGCAACCGAACCTTGTTACCGGGCTCGACAAGCTGCGCATGAAAATCGTGCGCAAATTATGTACACGGCAAAAACGTCCAAAGCCTGGCTAGCGAAAAATAGAACGCTTACATTCGCAAGGTATTCGTGACGGTTGCGAAGCACGGCGAAACGAACGGAAGAAGAATTGGAGTTGCATGCGCGACTCAACGGGACTCTTTCCCGGGGCGAAACTCGGTTACCCTTCTGTTTTCGCGTGTCAGTCTATTATGTGCGTGCTGTGCACCCGCTCATTTGTCAAGCCACGGGCGGGGCTCGTGTTTGCTCGTGTCCTAGCGTTTTGCTGTTGAGACTGTAGGTGTACCTCAACACATTCTCACTTGGCGAATCAATATTTCAGCAGGTTGGGGCAAAATGAACGCGGTGGACAGCCCTGATTGATCGAGCAAGCCCTTCGATGAGGTCACAAAGGATACTGTTCCGAGTGCGCACTTCAGCGAGAAGGAAATAGTACACATGAATCTACAAAATGACATTATGTAAGAGAATGACTTTTCCTTATGCTTCTAAAAGCATACACCACTAAAACAAGGTTCTTGGACAATACTTACCACGTTCATATGAGCTGCGTTACCGCGCTCATATGCCGGGTCACATGGGTGTGTTATGATCCATTTTCTCGCTTTCATTCCAAGCTATACCATTCTTATTGTAGTCGTGGGTGCATAAAACTCTAATATTACTACTCCATTGCTCCATGCATGTTATGATAATCTCCTGATAGTAGTCGAGTAATGCAATAGTGAGGTCGTGATTAAATTGTGTCAAGTACAAATGAAGCACATGGCTAAATACAACGACAGCTAGCCTAGCAAGAGAGCCTCGGGGAAGGCCACGAAACACACGCGAGGTGGTTCGGGGCGCCTCGGGACTCGAAAGTGTCGGACGCGACGCCGCGTGCAAGCTTGGGGTCTCGAACGTAGTTCGAATCTGAATTTTCGGGCCGAGCCTGGACTTCCGAAAGTCAGGGCTGTACTCGATGTTAGCGAGGCTCGATAAGGAAAAGGAATTTTCGTTACACCTCCCCCCCTCCTAGACGAGACTACCCATATTTGGGGCAGCCATATCGTGTAAATAGGCCTGCACCAATGGGTGGTTGTTGAGGTTAGCAGCTGGGACCCACATGTCGTCGTCGCAAGTACGGTCAACCCATTGAACCAGAAATTCCAAAACCTGTTGACCTTGGTCTCGACGGATTCGGTGGGAGAGGATTTGCTTTGGTTCGGTGGTTGGTGTCAAACATATATCATTATGTTTGTGTAGACTGTATAGGTTTGTGCCTTAGAGGGTACAACTCCTAGGTCATATACCCTTGTACATATGCATTCTAGTCATTCTCTCATTCTAACATGGTATCATGAGTAGGTTAGGTCCAGCCCGCCCAACAGCGCTTCTGCCCTAGGTCCTAGCCGTTCCTAGCCGCCCCCCTCCCCCCCCCCCCCCCCCCCGCGCCCGTTCCAAGCCGGCCTCCGCGCCCGTTCCTAGCCGGCCCACGCGCCCGTCCCTAGCCGGCCCCACGCCCGCCCCTCGTCGGCTCCGCGCCCTTTCCTAGCCGGCCCCGTGCCCGTCCCTAGTCGGCCCCCGCGCCCGTTCCTAGATGGCTTCCGCGCCCGTCCCTAGTCGGCTCCGCGCCCGCCCCTAGTCGGCCCCGCGCCCGTTCCTAGCCGGCCCCCGCGCCCGTTCCTAGCTGGCCC